GATCTCTGCCTGCAGCTTTTGCTTGTTTTAGACTCGGACTGACAACATCAGACGGGATCATGTTAATGTGGTCAGCCTTTGAGACGCGTGCCTCTTAATGATTGGCAAGTCTTACATGATGCAGAGCATGCTCTGCTCTTGGGATTTAATATGTATGCATTAGATCTGTGGTGATACTTCTTACATACCACTTTAAGTAGAAATCATGGCTACATAATCCCAGTTGATACCAGCTGGGATCGCCTGATGCTTGTTTTATCCCCCTTTTTATTGCTGACCACGACCACCTCCAGCCTTTATGGCAGGGTTTACCTTTCTCTCCCCTATTTGAGGGACTAATATAATTTCCTGTAGGACTTCCCCTTCCCATAAGTCTCCCTGATACGACTACCAGACTCTTGTTATAAGGTCAGATGGTTGGAGATAAGCTGGGCCACAGAGGAGCAGCGGGGATGAGAGGTTTTGGTAACAAGGAGGGGAACCTTCAGAAAAAGTTGATATCATCAGCTTTCAAAATAAAGTGCGCTGACAGAATAGTAAGAGAAACTGAATAATCCCTTTTATAATGAAGAGTATATGCAAAATATTCTCTGCATGATTACATTAAAGTGTTGTGATCTCAGAAGAGGTGTAACACATTTTCCAATTAAAAGAGGGGAATGCAAAAACTCAATTAGACAATTAAAGCATTAAAAATCAAATGAATTTCAGCTGCATTCTTGGTGGTGTCTTAACTATGAGTAAAGTGTTAGATCATACAAATTATGAAAAATATTCACGCTTTAGTGTTATCTTATCACATAGATGATAGTTTCCTCCCCCAGGTTGTGCGATATCAGTCTTATTTTGGTTTGTACCCAATCAAGAGCAGAGCTCAACTATGGGGAGAGAAAAAAAGGATTAAAATATATTACAGTGACAAATCCTTCCAGTGAAGTATTGCTTGTAACAGATAACATGCCTCGTTGAAACTACTTTACTTCTGGGACTACGTTCAGCCAAAGAAAATTTCCCGGACGAAGCTGTTGACTGTGCGCTTAGTAGGATCCTCCAGAGGAACGGGAACATTATTTCTGGAAAGACAAGGATCTGTTGAGAAACAATGCAGGAAATATCCCTCACTCCAGCAGGTTTACCCCACATGAAAAAAACTTGGCAGCTACTTTTCTGTTATGAAAAAACAGAAATAAGCACAGTATATATAGCATATATATGAGAACCTGACTTTATCCTTATGATTCCTCCTCTGCTGACTGGTTGTCCTAAATCTCATGTTGTAACACCTCTTTAGGACACTTCTTCTGGGCAAGAGACAGTCTCAAACAAATGCCCACTAAAAACCTTAACTCGACATATTTAGGGTCCATTAAGGCCAATTTCGGTGCTGGCTGAGACCGTGACCTCACTTTTCGGGCTCCTCTTACCTGTTGCTAGGTTATAAAAGTTGTTTAGTTTTCCCCTGACCGTTCTACTTCCCCTGACTGTTGAATCTATTTTTTTTTTTCCAAATATTTTTATGCTTCATATTTGCGTTCGTTTTGTGGAATTAAAAACATGCACAAGCACTTGATAGACATGATGTCACATCGTTGGCAGCACGTCTGGATGTGGAGATTGTACTTCAAAATAACAAGTCTGGTTTGTTTCTCCTCTGCATGGGTCTGGTGTTGATGAAGTTGTTATAAGAAGTCCTCCTCATTCCTGATCTTGGCTAGTCATGATGTTGACATTGATGAGCCCACATCAGTCTTCTGTGAGTGCAGTGACAACAAATTGGGGCAATTTTACACTTTGGATGTTGATGAAAATCATTGAGCTGCACCGGTTTTGTGTAGGAAATAGGAGCTGCCTATGCAAAGCCTTGGCCTGAAATAGGGCTGGATAACCTGGTCCATGTAATACTTGATAAAGCATTTGTCGAAACCTGAAAATCAACAACATTTGAGCTTATGAAGTGTGCTATTGGCACCACCTCATGTTAATTATATCAATGATGCACTCACATTAAAAGTGTTTGAGCAACAGATAGCTATAAAAATACATGAAGAAGAATTTTGATGGTTAGTTGAGATGATTGTCGAAAGTGTGAGGAGGTCCAAAGTGTGGCTACATGATACTGAGGCTGAAGCAAAATGCAATTTATGATACAAAATATTTTCCTGCAGGGTGGAGCACAACCTCCATGGCCAAACACGTCAGCATTGTGCATCAAATCAAGCTCAAGTAACCGCAGTGTCTTTGACCGTCTGAGGTTTGAAACAACTCTGTCAACTCTGGGTGCTGCTCAAGGTTATTATCGTTAATGAAAACTAACGAAATGACAAAAACTAGAATTGAAAAAAACATTTTCATTAACTTACATAAATAAAAACTTACAAAAACTAACAAACCTGCTCTAAAAAGTAATTAAAACCAACTGAATTAGAGAAAAAAAAGAGTTTGAACGAAGTAAAACTAAACTATAATGAAAAATCCCAAACAATCATAACTGGTGTTGCCGCCGCTGCTCTGGGGCTGCCGTTCTCCTCTTTGCCGCAAGCAGCTGGAGTATTCACAACAAGTCTTGTTATTTAAAACGTATAATTCAGTGTTGAAATCCTCTTGTTAGTTAACTAATCAGGGTGACAGATAATACATTGTGAGGTGTTCAGGGGTGAGTTGGTAAAATGAGAGTTAGGGTTAAATTATACTGTTATCATGATGTGTTAAAATGTCACGTCCAGAAAAAGAATAAATAGTTTTTGGTGAAAATCTGTTTAAATACAATAATTTGAAGGGAAATAATAATAGAGCAGACTCAGTAGGGGTATTACCAAGGACTTGGGTCATAAAGGAGTCTTAATAATGGTATCAGTATAGATTAGAATTAAATTGGGTGTTACTTATTACGCTGCTATTTCGTCATGAACTGACCTGAAAGTGATACCTGTATAGAAAATGTCTGAGGGTAGCTGTTAGCACCCACATAGCATCTCATTTAGCCGTGTTAGCATACATTTGACATCGTAACATTGCCTGCTTTTATGTTAAACGTCCTTGTACAAACCCTAATACTAGTTAAGTTGGGATGCTGTTTATAATGTGAATTAAAAAGAGAACACAATGATTGCGAATCCTGTTCGACCTTTATTAATCGAATACACAACAAAGACGAGATAATCAAGGTTCAAACTTATAAGCTGTATCATTATTTTGCAAATACTTGTTTTGAATTTGATGCCTGATCTGGGGTTAATAGATGGAACAGCTACAGGTTTCAATAACGGTGCAGGCACAGATCCAGCTCGTATTAGCCTCTGTTAATAAAGTCTCAAAACCATGAAACTACTCTGTGTTTTCTGGTGCCTTATTTCTTATTAGGAAAGAGAAAATAGGTGTGACTGTCCATCACGGCCAGATGAACATTTACAAGCAACTTAATGAGACATACTGGATCAACAAAGTACAGAGCAGGAGAAAGAGCTGATGGAGTGAATTTACCTTTCAGTGGAAAGTTAAAATAAGCTGCCTTTTGGCTATGTACTTTAATATTGTCCTAGTAGGACGGTAGAGCTTGATGCCAGGTTCAGGCCGTGCTTCCATGAGTTATTGAAAAAAGGTGTTCAGTGAACCTGAAAAACATGTCCAGGGTTTATATTAACACCCCTGTATGTCATTAATATTATTATGAAACTTTGAAGTGGTTCTCTATTCACACCCAAACATTGCAACATATGCTAGGGTGACCATACATCCTCTTTTACCCGTACAGTTCTCTTTTTGGGGGGCTGTCTGGCCTGTCCAGCCTTGTTTATAAAATCCTCCAAATGTGCAGGGTTTCATACGGAAGTTTTGAGTTTGTGTCGTGTGGACTTACTGAGTTAGAAGCGCATAAAAAGACACTTGATTCAGAATTTGATCACCCTAACATGTACATGTATGAAAATAAGCATCTGCATTATAGGCCTTCTTTATACAGGTGGAGTTGTGTGTTTGAAAGTGAAAATCAGTCTTAATTAACAAATAACAGTTGCTGTAGCTCTAATGTGCATGCATCAAAGTGCTATTATGTTCCCTGTACACAGAGCCTACCGTCCACAGGGGCCCTAAGCAGGCCCTTAGTTCGCTTATGCCTTGGGCCGGCTCTGCCTGTACAACTGAAAAACGAGACACGACAGTTAATTTGTCATATTATTTAATATTTAGTAATATTTAGAAAGAAAAAAACTTTTTGTAGAGCTCTTTTCCAAAAATGCATCACAAAATCTTTTGCAAGAATAACAAATAATAGCACAAGGCAAATCCACGGAGCAAAACTAATAAAACCCATACAATGACAGTCACCACCTCAAGTCTCTGATAGTTTTTAGCCTCACAAACAATTAAAAGGTTTGAACAGAGGATCTAAAGCTGCTGGCTCAGTGACAATTAAGAGGTCAGATCTGTAGCACTCAGAGAGGTCATGAGTAGAAGTCAGCAGTGAGATCTTATTAACGGAGCCCGTGTGAGGAGACTAAAATGAGCACGATGTCGTCTTTTCTTTTCTGCGAGTATGAGCGTTAAGTTTGGCAGCAAAGTTTCGCTGATGTAAAAGCTTTTTGGTTGAGGAAGGTAAAAAGGCAGTCATCGTCCTGTAATAGTTTTCATAAAGAGGTTTTAATGTTTGAACTGTCAGCTTGACTTATTATGAAGTGACTCTTCAATTAAATAATGCTTCTTTGACCAGCAGTACACTATAATAAAGAGACAGGTAAGAAGTCACCAAATGATCTATTTTAGGTGTTGGATGGATGGACACTTTGTTGACTACAAACCCCTGTATTCGCTCTACTCTTGCATAATCCTTGATCTTGGCAGATTATTTGAACTAGAGATACACTATAAGCTCAAAATTGCTCAATCAGTCTTAGGCAATAATAACACCAGAGATTTCTATGGTCGTGTAGCAACTGAATGAAACATCAATAGTGAAATGAGCTGTGGCAAGCTGTGTGAAAACAGGACACAGAGTCAGTGTAGCATTCAGTGCATCAACATGTATATTTCAACATATATTTATAGAGGTTATCTTCAATGTGCACAAGCCGATACAGACAAATAGAAATCATGTTGAACAGATTTACATATATTACTCTATCTACACATGTTGAAGTGGTTATTATGTACAAATATACAATCAGAAACGCTTTCATACAACATATAATGCTCTTGTGAGGCTGTAAAGACAGTTTGGGAAACATTTGGGTGCAGCGTGTGCGCTAATGGGAAGAAAATGTTTTGTCTTGAGTGCAAACAAGCCGCACAAACATCAGACCCCCCACAGCAGTGCAGGATGTGAGGGAGAAAAAGAGGAAGTGTGTTGACGTCGTGTGAGTGGAATGTGTGAGCTCCTCCACAGCATTCTGGAGGGGGGGGGGGGGGGTCACTGTGTCTATAGGTAGACTCTTCCAGCTGTGGCTAATCATACATTGCCAAACCCCCCCGCTCTAATTTGTACATATGTACACGTGTAGGTGAGCTTCCAGCAATTTTCAAGCAAAGGAGAGCGTCTCTTTGGGGATCCACACAGTTGGCCTGCCGCCTGCTGCAGCACAAATGAACAGAAAGGTGGGGGAACCAAGACGCTTATGTTCATTTATGCTGCCTTACTCTGTCCATGATTATCACTGCTCTAATAATCCAAAAGGAATGTTTTTCTTTTTTAAACACTTGGCCCTGAAAAATGAGGATATACAGCCTTAGTTTCTTGGAGAGTGGAATCTGGAGGAGTTCCTTTTACAACAACACACCTCCTAGCTGCTGATTTTTCCTCCTTAGTAGATATTATTTACAGGAAAAGGTGCTCAGCTGCACTACAGGGAGGCATAAACCGCAGTGAAAAACATCTGTACTCGCTGAAAAAGACTCTCTATGAATAACATCGAAGAAGGATCATGTAGTGCGTCAAAGAAAGTCTTCTTTTTCTTGCTTAAGGCTGTTAAAATTTCAAGCTTTAAAAACAAAATTCAGCAAACGGCGTATCTGCGGGCATGTAGAGCCTTTATAAAGAAAAACAAACAAAAACATGATATGCATAAAGTAAACTTTGCAATTCTTCCGTCCCTCTGATTATTTTTAACCTTTTCTTTTGAGAGTACGAAAAGAAACATCTTTGCACTTGAAACCCAACAAGAAAAAACATTTAAAGTGTCCATATTATCTGTCCCTGTTTACATCACAAGTCTTTATTCAGTTTTTTTTTCATGCAAACAGATTTTTTTTACTGTTGGTTTTTGTGTTTTGTTGCATTTAAGATTCTGTCCCTCTTTCCCAAAGTTAAAATGAGTTGAACCTGCATATCGATGCCTCTGCAGAATTCATGCCCACCCCTGTAAACAGAGTTGCCTGGCTGTGTAATCAGTCAGCCTGAATAGAGGACTTGGGTGAATTATCAAACTCCTTCCAGTTGCCCGTACTCCCCGTCGGGCTTCGATTAGTCATCTTAGTCAGCAGCGTCGTCCTGCGGATGCTGCTGTCTGAATCCTCCTTCTTGTAGTCGGGGTTCATTCTCAGGCAGCAGGAGAAGCAGTGAATGAAATCCTGAAGGAGGTGACCGCTGAAGATCATGTATATCCACGGGTTGCAGCAGCTGTTGAGACTGGCAAGCAGCGCAGACAGAGTCACTGCTGTGTTCTCAGAATCTGGAGGACAGAGGGAGAGAGCAAAGAGGGGAAAAAAAGGATGATCAATCTGCAAAACATCTGCCGCAGAAATGCCTGGCTAATGCGATTAATATGGTGTTGAAATTTGAAATCTATTTAGTCTGTAAAGAGGAAAAAATCTGCCAAAGTAAAAGTTCAAAAAGTTGGTTCTCTTTGCTAATCAGATTATTTTAAGCCTGTTTGGACTGAGGGTTGTTTTCATGATATCACAGAAGAATTTTGGCTGCTGTCATGTTGACTCCATCAGAGGTGGTTCATGAAACAATAACAACCCATGGTAAAACTGTATCATCATCCAAAAACATCATTTTTATCGAAGGATTGATATAAAAAAACCAATCTTTGCAGCTTATCATCTAAAGAGGAGATTTCTGTCAAATATTAAAGGTACACGATGTTTCATTCGGCTCTAACATACAGATGTAATTACATGCAAACAATAGACCCGTTCAAATTTATGTTATTTCTACTTTACACATTAGTCTTTTCATTTCCTCATTGACTGTTACGCATATTTTGGATAAAAATGCCAAATAAGTCCGTGCGTAAAGCCGTGCGCACTTGGAACGTTCATTACGCACGATGAGTTTTTAATATCAGACTGGCCACCCACTGCTCTTTTCTGCTGCTAATAGTTACACGCTGTTTATCATCTGTTCACCACATCCTTCATTAAGCTGTAACATCTTAAATGAGTGTGATAATGAAGACATTCCTGTGTACTAACCAGCCCACTGGAAGTTTTCATCCCACACCGACCACATCTGGACTATGAAAAACGGCGCCCAGCAAATGATGTACGCCAGAACAATCACAAAAGTCATTTTTACAGTCCGCAGTTTGGCTCTGGAGATTGTTGTCACGCTGCTGACGGAATTCTTCCCAATCAGTCCGTTTTTAGCCGCGGCACCACCTGTCGTTTTCCTCTTCTTGTATTTGATATTTTTCCATATGCTGTGGCAGATGAAGCCGTAGCACATCATGAGAATGACAACTGGTACGAGGAAGATGCCCACGGTGATCCAGGTGATGTAAGCCCTGGCGCCCCAAGGCTCGATAAAATGCGCCCAGCAGTCGTAGACGTCCGAGCCGTTCTTGATCTCGCTCAGGGAGAAGATGAAGTACTGAGGGGTGCTGAGCACCAGGCTGCACATCCAGGTAGAGATGATCATGATGTAGGAGCGCTGGGTGGGCTGCTGCAGGGTTTTCAGAGGGTGGCAGATGGCGATGTAACGGTCCAGGGTCATCATCACCATCATGTAAGTGGACGCAAACATCCCCATCACCTGGAGGTGCTTGACGATCCTGCAAAGAAAGTCCGGACCGTAGAAGCGGAAGGTGATCTCCCAGCAGAGCTGCGGCAGCACCTGGAAGAAGGCGACCACCAGGTCAGCCAGGCTCAGGTGTTTGATGAAGAGGTGCATCCGTGACATCTTCTTCTTGGTGTTGTACATGGCCAGCAGGACGCTCACGTTTCCAATCACAGCAACCACGAAGGTGATGCTCAGGACCAGAATCTCCATTTGGGCTACCTCCTCGTTCCGCGCAAACGGATCGGATCCGTTCGGGTGGAGGGTGTCGTTTCCAGGCGTAGCCATCCTCAGGTCATCGGTGGAGCTAAAAACCAGAGACTGGTTCCCTCCTCTCAGGAGCAGCGCATATTCATGAGTGTGCATGGCACCGCTCCTCTGTGCGCCCAAGCAGATACAGAGCCAGAGGGGCTGTGTTGTGCCCCACCGGTCCGTATATGGAGCTACCTGATGCTCGTAGAGAGGAACACGCTGCTCTCTGAGTTGTGGCTGCTGTGGGGGGCTTCTTAAACCCGAATCATGTTTCAGATAGCGTGTGCGTAAGGCGTGTACACTGCAAAAAATGACACACCTCCAAAGTTATTTCAAACTTTCTCTGGACGTCACAGCATAAAAATACACATTTCGATTGAAATAGTGTACCAAGCAGTTTTTAAAAACAAAACAAAAAATGATTTCTGTTAATTAAATTAAATTAAATTTTTTTTTTGTAAAAAGTTGAAAAAAAGTTTTGCAGACAACACAAATAGAAAATAAATCAATGCTTTGCCAGTATAGATCGCATTAATCAATTTGAAAGATTTTCATACTAAAATGTATTTCAGTTATTTGCAGCATTTTTTAAACTACATTTAAATCTCTGATGCATAAGAGCATGTTTTACAGTGTGTAGCCAGGCCTCCCTTATCATTTACACACCCTTCACATCACCACAGCTCTTTACACTTAGAGTGTGGGCCACGTGTTGAGAAAGCAGCTATGTTTACTTTAAAACTCACAAAATTACAACTGCAAAGGTCAGAGAGTTTAAGTTGAGAAATGTCAACAAAATAAGCAGCTTATGTTTGACAGAATTATGAATTCACAGGAGTATAAAAATGAACTTTATTACTACATGTGCATTAGTGTGTCTTAGTCTGTGCTCTTTTATACTCATATCCTGTCAGATATACTTTAGAACATCATAGAAAAAAACAACTTTAACCTCATGTGAGGAGTTTGACAAGTTATGTAACAGACTGGAGTGAATGGCGGTGTGTCTCTATAATGTACGAAAGCAAATGAGACCATCAGTGACAAGGCTGACAGATTATATATTATAATTTCCAGTGTCTGTCCTCAATTGCTGTTTGGGGTTAGTTATGCTGAGTAAACAGCCTGTGAACCTTTTCCCACAGCAAGTATTCACAGTGAGCGAAACATCTCATTGTAAAAGAGAACAGAAGGTGATTTTGTTGTCAATCCACACCTCTTTCACAAAGACAGGCAACAATGAGCAACACTTTAAGGACTCCCACTTTGTCTAAATGGGGGCGCTAAAGTCAGCACTAACAGAAAGTTCCCAATAGATGCTTTAATTTGTCGAAGGTTTTATATTGGACACTTGCACTTGGTGATCGACTTGTCAGGGCTCTCCCCACAAACAAGCGGCTGCTGGAGGAGAGTGGGTGAGTTGTGTTAAGTCTCTTTGTTGAAGAAATCAGGCAAAGCTACAAAAAAGTTTGATGGCTGGTACTGTGGCTAGGACCCTATATGTACTGTTGATGAAGTTAGGTGCTGTTCTGAGCATTATTTGTGGCTATAGAGTGGCTCTTTGGTTCAGGTCTGTCTGTGGAAATGTAGACCGCTGTGTATTGCTATCTGCGGTTGTTGCTGAAGTTGGTGTAACTAGAGAAGCAAGCGGTCGGCAACATTCATCTCTCGAGGGGGTGTCTAACTCGGTGTTACATGTGTTTGACCCTAACTTAAATTTATGATGGAATATCCCTTTAATGGTAGTAGATAGTTATCAGTTATTTATTTAGATAGCCACACTTTCAAAACACAACAGTGGCTGGTACTTGAGTAGAGGAGGTGTAGTTTTTCATTCAGAGTGGGATTAGGGTTATTTTTCATTTGCTTCGATTTGAACTCCGTCTGTCTTGTCCACTGTGCAAATGTGGTCAAGTACAGATAGATCACTGCAGACTGGTATCTAAAGTAGATCTCCCTTCAGCAAAGGTCGGGCATCCTTGGTACATATATAATGATCCGCACACATACTTGTACAGTGTTCCTGATCCAAATGTAGAGTAAAAGTCTCGAAATGAAACACTTAATGCCATACTAAAATTATTTTCTCCTGCTGTAATGGTAGCATGTTATAAACTAAAACATTTTTTATGCTTTTCTGTACATGTTTTAAATTCTGGGGCTCTATTCAGTGTAGTAGGAGTGGATTTAATCGCACATTGGAATGCTGTGAGTGTTTCTCTGCAGAGCTTGGTGTAGTGATGGTCTCTTTAAATTGTTTATCTCAAGTTTATGAGAAGAAACCTCCAGGTTTGATTTATTCAGGTCCAATGTTTCAGATGTAAAGCCAAATTCAAGCCACAAGCAGCTGGTTTTGATGTTTAATTATCCTTCAAAGAGGAGGTGTTAAGAGTGTGTCCTCCCCTGTGTGTGCAGGTTTGTAGTGTTGACCTAAATACATTTGTGTACCATGCTCAGAATCAGAAATGCAGTTTTACAAACCTCATATAACGTTTAAAAACTACTGTCTGAAAATCTAGCAATTTAGTTTTAAGAGAATTATCCCGATTGGACTTTTATCGATATATTTGCTGCACTGAAATGTAGTTTGTTTAAAAGTAACTTGTCAAATTAATGCAAACAGAGATGGAACAAACTAAGTTCATCAACAAACCTGTTGAAGCCTTGAGTTTGGCAATTCCTTTTTCTGTACTGACAAAAGTTGCAGCATTGTCCATATTTGGACAAGAGGGTGGAGCTTAAGAGGGGCAAATGGCCATTAACCATTGAGCCATCAGTGAGCACTAGCACAGGCATGATTGACGAGATGATTATGTAATTTACTGGAACTGTAAAGCTGAAAACCCACAGGATGTGTGTTTGTCGTGTTCTGTCAATGTCACTTGCTGTGTAGCAGAAAAGTTCCCATTCAAGTAATGTGACTAGGGTGACCATATTCTGTCTTCCCAATCCAATCCAATCCAATCAACTTTATGTATAAAAGCACATTTTAAAAAACATTCAAGTTTACCAAAGTGCTGCACAATAAAATTAAAAGAACAGACACTGCAGAAAACGTCAAGAGGAAATGAATAAAAAGCAGATAAAAAAAAACATTTAAAATGAAATAAAATAAATGAAATAAAAACACAAAAGCATAAAAGAAATAAAAGTGATAAAAGGACCATAAAAAACATAAAAGGACCATAAAAGAGGACACGACTATGCAGGGGTGGAGTCACAGAGTCACACGAAGTTAGTTTTAAGAGTTTTTCTTGTCGGATCAAGTGTCTTTTCTGTGCTTCTAACTCAGTAAGTCCACGTGACACAAACTCAAAACTTCTGTACAAAACCCCGGACATTTGAAGGATTTGATAAACTTCCTAGGACAAAGCTGGACAAGGCCAGACAGCCCCCCCAAAAGAGGACATGTTGGGTAAAAGAGGATGTACCGTTACCCTGTTTCTTGGGTACAGTTCCCATTTTGGATGACCCTGTCCCTGACTAAAGCTGTTTCAGGAAATGTCCCCGATTTTAGTGTTTCATGCATGAGAAAAAAGCATGAAGCACACAGTCTTGAAAAAACATTATTAGCCCCTGCTCCCAATCAATTACTGCCACTGTTAAAATGGGTCCCCCTGGTCTCCGAAAATGGAGGTCACCAAAATCAAATTTTGCTTTGCAGAATAAGAAAAGGATGTTTTGTGTCTAAAAAAATATTGAGATTAACTTCTTCCTTATCTTTCCTCTTTGATCCCATGATAGATCATTATGAGGCATTTTCTTTGGACTCAGAAGAATTGTCTTTTGTTTAACAAAAAACAGACCAATTAAAGATCTTATAATTAGAGCAGGTTCTTCTTTGAATTGTGTTTTAAAGGTTAACTGAAAAAGGAAATCTTAATCTTTATACAGTTTGAGTTTCCATAAACAGCCTTGACTTTACTGCATTAGATAAATACTTACTTCTGAACTTTCTTTAAGGGCACACAAAATCTTTTATTTAGTCGGATTCAAACAAGTTTGCTGGAAAAAAGCCCACATCGTCGGATTTCATCCATACATAATCCTGCAGTGGGATTAACATCAAGCAGAGCACCTTTTATTTATCACATTTTCGCTCACATCAGCTGCTCTTTCGAACTGCCGCTGTGTAAATCCTTCTTTTTTTCCCCTTACGTTGCTCCGTTCTGTTACACACTCGTCCTGCAGTTCTTTACATCGGCACCTTAGTTTCCAAATGAGGGGTTACATCGTTGAATGCTTATTACAGTTTCCATTGCGAAGGCACATAATTACAAACAGTCCGTGGGTATCCGGCGGCTCTTCAGCTCATCTGATCCATGTGCTGATAGAGAGCAGAGTTATCTTTATTGTCTTCACATTGTGTCCACGGTCCACTTCTCCTCACTTTCATTTCCGGTGGCCCTTGTGGCAAATTGTTCAAGCCGGGGCCCCTTCCTTAAAGTTTCCTGTTGGTCGGTTGACCCTGCTTAGCGCTTTAATGAAGTTTTCTAATGTCCCCTGTGTTAGTCTGTCCTAATCTCTCCATCAGAGCCCCAGAAGAAACATTTCTGGTGCCGTGGGCTTCTGTTGACCACCTCACCACCCCAACCCTGTTCTCTGACTGATTTCTAACCCCCCTATTCCACTTTGGTACACTCCCATCCTGCCCTGGGGCGTTCAATGACAGCGAATGTCAATCTTCACGCTGGAATGAAATGCGTTTAACTCTCATCTCCTGTTTTTGAAGACGTTCACCGCAGACGTCCTGGTGTTATTACAGCTCCCGGCTTGGTTTGTCTCATCAGTGTCAGAGGATGAGGACTCTCTTTAGCGTCCTAGACTGAGGACACAGAGTCTGAGCTCAGGAATCATGGGAATGCATGCAGTGGCTCCGGTAGCACAACAAGTTGGTCTGAATAATTTACATTTTGTTTCCCTTCTGTGCATGGGGTTACAATGCTGAATAAGACCCCTTTCAGAGTCTAAGCTGTTAAATTTATCCTCAGGAATAAACTATCTAGTCAAGCGGCGACTTCTTTTATGAAGCAGAATGTCTCTCTATGATCTGAAGCTCCAGTCAAGAGGTCTGTGCTGGTTATGCAACAGACTGAAATTAATACTGGTGCCTTTTTATGACCCACAGAGGGAGGCAGGACAGCCAGGAAAAAGACTGTTTACCCTGATGGTTTTTCTTTAATGCCTGTAACTGCTGCCACCTGGTTGGTGTCAAACAAAGCAATTATTGGCGTG